GGACATGGACATGGACATGGACATGGACATGGACCTGGACATGGACATGGACATGGACATGGACATGGACGTGGCCCTGGACATGGACATGGAGATGCATGTGTGTGGAGGGGAGGGGGGGGGGGGGGGGTGCTTGTCCTGTCCCCCCTGTGTGCTGCGTGGCGCGCCCCCCCCCAATGGGCATGCCTCCCGGAGAGCACCTGTGTGTGTGTGTGTGTGTGTGTGTGTGTGTGTGTGTGTGTGTGTGTGTGTGTGTGTGTGTGTGTGTCCGTGTGTGTGTCTGTGTGTGTGTGTGTGTGTGTGCGTGTGTGTGCGTGCGTGCGTGCGTGCGTGCGCGCCTCGGTCAGCATGATCTTGTGCTCCGTGGGGTCGATCTTGAGCTTCTCGCGAAAGGTGTAGTAGTAGAGGTGGCACATGTCCTCCCACCGCTGCACGACCCCGTTCGTGATTGGGTACGACGTCTCCAGCCTACCGGAGATTTAGGGAGATGTGGGGAGATATGGGGGAGATGTGGGGAAGATGTGGGGAGATTGGGGAGGCCGCGTGCGAGGTGTGAGGGCGGGGGCAGCACAGCCAGACTGCACGCACAGACGGATCGCAGAGGAGACATCTAGGCTGCCCATGCATGTCCCGTGCCGCAGTGCACTCGTCGCCAACCATGATGTCCTGCGGCAGGGACGGGTGGCAGATACGCGGTATGGCGGGGAAGGGCACGCGCGCTCACGTCGCGCCCACCGCGCCCTCGCCGCGCCACGCTGTGCGCCCGCCGCCGCTCCGTCCACCCTCCATCCCGCTCTCTGTGTGCACTCCCCGACGGCAGCACGGGCGTGGAGAGGCGACGCCAACGCCCGCACTCACGCGGGCCACGCACCTTGAGCTGGACCTGCCCCACCTTCTCCTCGGCGCGGAGGATGGGCCGGCCGACAATCGACGGGAAGATGTGCGTAGGGAAGTTGTCGCCCGCGAAGCCGCACTTGACAAACTGCGGTGGCGGCGACGGAGCGTGAGAGAGGGAGCGGCACGCACACAAATGCGAGCCGCTGCGGGCGATCCGCACCCCGGTGCCATTGTCGCAAACGACAGGCGGCTTGCTCATATGACTGAGAACAGGGCCGCCAGTCAGATCGGACACACGCGAAGAGAGAGCGGCGAGGCAGGAGTGAACAAGGGCAGTAAGTCGAGCGGTCGCTGTCTGCTATTGCCGCAGCCGCTTCACAGCTGCTCCTGTGGGAAGAGACCCATGAACCGCTCAATATGGCCGGCAGCTCGCGCTGCCGGCGGGGTTGGTTGGGGAGAACCGGCACGGGGAGAGCCGGCCTCCCCGGAGGGGTCGCCCCCTGGAGGGGCCCCAAAGGGCCCCCCGGGGGGGCGGGGGCCCCCGCCCCGAGGGGCGGGGGCAGGTTCGTCGCCTAGCGCGATGGAGTCAACCCTTGTTGCCAAGTCGGCGAGCGTGTTGTGTATCGAGAGAGAGACCATAGTAGAAGCGAGAGCGGCGTCGTCCGGGGAGAGTGGTGGTGGGGGAGGGTCAACATCGAGGGCAAGTACGCATCGCGCTCCCCGATCGTCTCCGATCTCCCTCGCCTGCTCGCTCGGCACGTAATCGGACCATATCGCTCGAACTCGGGGGGCACGGCGAGGGTCAGCGACGGGTGCGGCTTCAGGGTCGGTGGCGTGCGAGGGGTGGCTGACGGGGCTGGCTGGCTGGGGCTGTAGCCGTTGGTGTAGCAGGCCCACCGTCGGCGTCGCTATCATCTTCCCTCTCCGAGTCCTGGCCGCCGCCTGTTGCTCCGTGTCCACTGGTACTCCAGGGAGGGAGCATGTTCATGTTCATGTTCATGTTCATGTTCATGTCATGTCATGTTCATGTCATGTTGTTGTTGTTGTTGTGCATGTGCATGTTCTCCAAGTTCTCGTCGCCACAACAACCGCACGCACAT